GACATCTGCCCAGTCAGACAAGGACTACAAGGAGCTACCACCGGCACCTTTGTTTGAGCCTGGTGAACTCAAGTCGTGGTCTTTCTACAGAGCTGGTATCGCTGAGTTTATGGCCACCTTCTTGTTCCTTTACATCACCATCTTGACAGTAATGGGCGTGTCCCAGTCTAAGACCAAATGTACTACCGTTGGTATTCAAGGCATTGCTTGGGCCTTTGGGGGCATGATCTTTGCTCTGGTCTACTGCACTGCTGGCATTTCAGGTCGCCTTCCTTTTAACTTTTTTAATTTCTAGTTTGTAGTTAACTCCACCCCCACAAAAGGAAAGATTTTGGCTTTGTTTTCTTTGGTTAAGCTCAAAATTTGAACTTTTCTTTCTTGTAAAGATGTTGAGTAACCAGATCTGCGTGTTTTTCTAACTTTAGGTGGCCACATCAACCCTTCTGTGACATTTGGGCTGTTGCTAGCCAGGAAACTGTCCCTTACAAGAGCGGTGTTCTACATGGTCATGCAGTGCCTTGGTGCCATCTGCGGAGCCGGTGTAGTGAAGGGATTCCAAGGAAACAGTCGATATCAGATGTTGGGTGGTGGAGCTAACGTTGTGGCCCATGGGTACACTAAGGGGTCAGGTCTTGGTGCTGAGATCATTGGCACTTTTGTTCTTGTCTACACTGTTTTATCTGCTACTGATGCCAAGAGAAACGCTAGAGACTCGCATGTTCCTGTATGTGTTATTCTCTTGCCCTTATATTATATACTTGTTATCTTTCTTTTCTCCTAACTTTATTTTTATGTATCTGTCTATTCTAGAGATATCAAGGGATATTTTAGTGTTTAAATAATATTTAGGTTTTAGTTAGGTTCAACCCCAAGTCATGTTAGGGGGGAGGCAATAGAAGAGAAAGTGTTAAAAGACTCAAGCCTAGCCCCTCTACAGTTCCGATGGAGATGCATGGCGGTTTCGGCTAGACACAGACCCAATTTGTATGTGATTTTGATATGGTCTTTGATTCTCAAGCCTTAAATTTGACTAACAATCCATCCTTCTTCCTTTAGGAGAGATGTGAAGGGATTAATCAGATGTAATACTTGGACTAAGAGCCAAGTTGGTAAATTTTGCATCCCAATCTTTGAATTAGTAAACAAAATTACATCTTTGATTGCTAAGAGCTTGCATTCATTGCATAATTTACTGCCGTATCTTGTGATACCCTACAAAAGTATGCTAGATTGGTTCTTGGTCAAAAAAGCTCATTATCATTACGTGTGTTCAAAAACAGAGGAGAAAGGGAGAAAGAATTTCATCTTATTATCCAAACATTCAAAATCGAGATAAAGAATGATGGTGGCAAATATTTAGTGTTTATGAGTGCTTGGTAGTGTTAGTGTAGATCTTCAAAGTCTAGATGGAGTTCTGAATTAGTAATGAATTTCTTGCTGCTACATTTAGATTTTGGCTCCCCTTCCCATTGGGTTTGCGGTGTTCTTGGTTCATTTAGCTACCATTCCCATCACTGGAACCGGTATCAACCCAGCCAGGAGTCTTGGAGCTGCCATCATATACAACAAAGACCACGCATGGGATGACCATGTTAGTATCATTCCCCAATCTTTTCTTAGTTGCATCGTTAGAGATCGACTAAAATTTGTGTGTTTTGGTTGCAGTGGATCTTCTGGGTTGGACCCTTCATTGGAGCTGCTCTTGCTGCAATTTACCACCAGATAATTATTAGAGCTATTCCTTTCAAGACCAGAACTTGAAATGATCAGTGCTTCTTTCGTTCTCTTTTTGTGAACTACTTTGCCTTGTTATGTACCCCTTGGTTTGCATTCCGAGTTTGTGTTGATGTGTGTAAATTATGCTACAGTTGTGTTGTTTTCAGTTTTCTTTATCAATGAAGGATTTCTTTCTTTCTTTATCTATCTACTCTCCCCTTCCTATCCTACTTGATTTGGAATAAAATCTAGTTTTTATGATTGAATTAATTTAGATTTTTATAATTTCTTAAGGGTCGAATATTTACTATTTTCAAGGCTTCTACTTATCCCTTTGGACTATCTTTAAGGAAACTAAAGTTGAACCTATTAAGAGTTCTTAGTGACAAAAATAATGTTGTTCTTTTTTAAAGATCCAAGTTTCGTATTTATAGGATTTGTGTATTATTAATAATTAAAAAGAATTCTAAACATGTAATATTCTATAATCATCCCGTACTATTTAAAAAATTATGGATTTCTTCTTTCTTCCTTTGAAGATTGCAAGAGAACAAACCCAAAAGTGAAATGCATAGCTGTGGTATTACTGGAGAAAAGCTGTAGGTAGCTGCTTGTTTCTGATACAAGATTAAAACTTATTACTCTTAGATGTATCAAGTGGGATGTGAAATCATGTTATATGTTTCTAGCCATGGTTTTATAGCTATAACCATACACTATAAGTTATAGTTTTATAGCCTCATATTATATGTTTCTAGCCATAATTTTATAGCCATAACCATATACTATAACTATGTAATTGAAAAAAATATAAAGAGATACATTATAATAATTACTTCTAAATGTATATAAAATATATAATAAACTAAGATTAAATTTAACAAACATGAAATTACCAACTGAAATTTAAATAAATTATACAACCCGCATGGTTTACACTGAAACAATTGTAAAATATAAAACTGAAATTAATATCAAATTGGACTAAATTGCATTTATTTAAAAGGTTATTGAACAAAAGTTTATATGGTTGAGAGATTATATAATTTATAGGGTTTGAAGTTTGATGTATTTTTTAGGATTTAGAATAAATTAAAAAAATCTAAAAATAAATAAGGGTTAATTTGAATAAAAATATAATTCTAAGGATTAAATTGAATAAACATAAAATTATAAATTGAAATTTAAACAAATTAAACAACATACATGGACGTCGAAATTACTTACTCCGAATTTAACTACTCATTCACAAAAGGAACAACAACGCCTTTGAAGATTTGATTTTAGTCCACATTTCAAAATATTCCTTAAATTGATTTTGTAAACCAAACTGACAAAATTTAATAACAAAATTCATACTTCAATTTCTTGGATTTTACTTCCCAAAAATATTTTCAGATTAATTTTGAAGACAAATTTTTTGGGTAATCGATCTGACTATCCCATAATTATCATCAATTGCATATTTTAAACCCATCGATATTAATCCAAACAATAAAATAATAAGGAAGAAATGGTTTGTTATTACATTGAAAACAAGTGTAAATAAAAAGAAATAAAATAATAAGGAAAATGAAATAAAAATATAAGTGTCTCTTCTCATACCGAACACTGCGACTTGTGTAGAAGCTGAATAATAATAATAATAACAAATAGGGTAAATGACATATTTAGTACCTAATTTATTATTTTGATACTTAAATTTTTATTTTTTAAAAATATACCTAATATTAGTTTAAATTACATTTTGATACTCACCGTTTTAAAAATTTAACGGTGATGTTGACTTGTCACCATAAAGTAATGGCATATTATCATTGAAAAAAATAAAAATGTCACTTCAGCAGTTTTGCTAATTTTTTAATGGTAGGTATCAAATTGAAACCTAAACTGAATATGAGGTACGAGTTTGAGAAAAAATAAAATTTGAGTAATCAAACAAAATAAAAATGATAATTTAGATATTAAATGTATAATTTACCCTAAAATATAACTCAAATGCTCTTGCTGACCCGGCATTAAACGCCTCTATTCAACTCATCTTAACCGTTGATTTTCCTCACAAACTCAATACAATCCATTAGATCAAACACTAACGTACTGTTCCCTTCAAACAGTAATATATAAATAAATCTTCATCTTTCTTAAAAAAGGATTTAGGTAGCTATCAGATGGGAAATATTGATAGGGAATCCTCTTTGTATATTTTACGTCCATGTTGTTGAATAATAATAAGGCAGGAATACAAATTTAATTTAAAAAATATATTATTGAACAAAATAAATATAAAGGTCAAACATGAAATGATAAAAGAAATCAAACATAAAAAATATAAAAAATTATATGTCAATTTCAAACACAATCTCTAATTCTATCTCTAGATAAAATATAAAAAACAAAAATTCCAACTAAAAACACAATCTTTGTAAGCTTTAGTAAAAAAAATAAATTTAATAAGAGTATTATTTATTTCTCATGTTTTAATACATTAATTTAAAATAAATAATTTTTATTTTATACTTTTAATTACTTATTGAACTTAGTCTAAACATAGAAAAAATAAATTTAAAATTTTATTCATCTTTCTAATTTTAATTTTAATTTATATTACTTATTTATGTTATAAAAACTAATATATTAATTTCTTCTTTTCTTATATTAATACTTCTTAAACGTTGCATCAATAAGAAAGTTATAATGCTAAAAAAAAATCTCCTAATATTTAATTAATTAGTAGCTTTGATATCTATTCTTTTTAGTATTTTGGCCCTAATATTATATTTTGGGGGTAATAGATGAAAATCATTAGTCAATAAAGGATTAACGCATTGGCGATTTTTACCCTAAAATAAAATACTGTGAGTTAAAAATGATTAAAAAAAAGAATATGACCAAAGTGATTATTTTAGTCATTGACAATATAATATCGCATACACCTATTAGATAAGTTCACCTTAAATAAATTCTCAATCATTAAATAGTGAACATTCATATTTTTACATACGCGATCCTTATATCTAAAATCTAAAAAAATAAAAACAATCCACTAGCATTAAGGACTGTGTCGTAAGTTGAAAGCTGAGAAGTAACAATTTTTGTATGAAATAATATATGGTTGGGTGAAAAAGAAAGAACACGTGTCAAATTCCCAATGAAACATAGCTACCTCATTTGAAATGGAGGGGGTCCGTAGGTAAAACCATTCAACTTCCCACGCAAAAGTCTCCCTTAACTTAAAAGTATATTGTAAGGGCTTAATTAGAATAAAATCAGGCTTACACGCTATATACTCTTCTCGTTGAAGCGCCAAAAATGGCTCTCCTAACATTCTTCCCTTTCTTCTTCCTCTCACTGTATCTTCTAAAACCAGCGGCAGCCATCACTTGTTCAACTTCATGCCCTGCCGGCGGGCCGGAAGTTAAGTTCCCCTTCGGCCTCAACCCTGACGGCAACCCAAATGGTCCTTGCAGCTATCCAGGTTTCGGTCTTTCTTGTAGCAACCGAACTCATGAACTTGTCCTTAATCTCCCCCAATCCGGACAATTCGTCGTTCGATACATCGATTACGATACCCAACAGATATGGATCAACGACCCTGATTTCTGCCTCCCTCGACGATTCTTGCGGTCATTCAATATATCAGGAACGCCTTTCGACTCTGAATTCTGGTACACCTTCACGCTCTTCAATTGCTCTGCTATCGAAGCTGCTGAGGGGGGGTTAAGGACAATCCCCTGTCTTAGCAATCAGAACTATTCTATTGTGGCTTCCCAGACAACATCCTTTTTCGATTCTACGAATGTTTTGCAGTCTGCTTGTCGCCCTATAAGAACTTTTACAATCCCATTTGTTTGGTATGGTTGGTGGGACGGCGTCCGGTTAGAATGGAACAATCCCGATTGTCGGTCATGCGTTCAACGTCGAGGGGATTGTCGGTTCAGGAATAGGACTAGTCTGGAAATTGAGTGCTTTAATATGCCAAGCCAAGGTATGCTACTAGAATTTAAACTGTCGTTACTGTTGCATTTTCGGTTGTGTGGTTGCTATAACGGTCATGACGAGTATCACAGTCGTAAAATAACAATTTCGGATGATACCTATATCGCTATATAATCCATGCTTACAGCCCTCTGGTTACTGCTCTGTTCTGAAAACGGTGGACTTTTAAATCACTTGAACTAATTGCTTATAGTGACTAGGAACCTAATACTTATAGCACTTGAAAATAGAGTATTTCTTAATGAAAGAGTTTTTAGAATACTTTTCTTGGGGTCTAAGTCATGAAATCGTGTCGAATTTACATTGTTTTATAGAGCTTAGAATAGAACTTGACTTTTCGTTTTCCCATTGCAGGGGGTCTATCAAGGAGTGCCAAGTATGGAATTATAATTGGCGTTGGAATTCCGGGGCTCTTGAGTCTAATCGGGCTAGTTTCGTTCATTGGTAGTCGAATGAGAACGAATGGACGTCGAGGTAACCTTCCTAGTATTGAATTCTCGGCGTCAATCTCTCCGTCACAGGCTATTTTAATAACAGGACTCGACGGGCCAACGATTGATTCCTACCCCAAGACTAAACTTGGTGAGAGCGGGCGTCTTCCCAAGCCGAACGATAATATTTGTCCCATTTGCTTATCTGAATATCAGCCTAAGGAGACATTAAGGACTATACCGGACTGTAACCACTACTTCCACTCCCATTGCGTAGACGAGTGGCTGAAGATGAATGCTTCGTGCCCTTTGTGTCGCAATTCGCCCGGTGGATCTTCTGAAGTTACCCCATCTATATCTATATCTTCATCGTAATCTACTCTCTTACCACCATAGGCAATTCCAAATTTATGTCACTATATCAGCTGTTGTGAATATATTATACCCTTCAAGGATGTGAGTTTTAGCTTCTCCTTGTGATTGATAGATTTTGGTTATTAGTGTGTTTTTTCCTAAATGATTTTGGTTATTAGTTAGACAACGAACATATTACCATTCCATTTTTTTTATCTAATTGATGATTTTTGTCATTTATGTTTCATGTCTCTTGTTTGTAAGAGTAAAATATCATAGTAGGGATGGTCGCGAGCGAGACATGACGAGTCAAATTTTTTGTCGTCCCGCTTTCGACACGATGAATAACTTTCGATAAATTTACGAATATTACATTCGATCACTGGAGTAATCTAAAATTTTCTAAACAATACAAATCAAAATATCATATTAAAACAGTTGTACAAATTTTAGAGCGCCCTTAATTTTAAAAACAATGTATACAATAAAATAAAAGTTCTCATTACAAAAGGAAAATTATTATATGCTCATCTAAGTAGTCATCTAACGTACTCATATATTCTCACCGAGACTCCTCCAACGATGTTGTCTCATCATGATTTACAAAATATGTAACATGCGTACGAAAACAATTTGAACATTGAACTAACAAAGCTTAATGATACATATACTCTACTATATTTGATTAAATTCATAAACGTAAGAATGCAAATTAGATATAAAAATAAATGCATCGAGTATAATATATATCTTCCTTAGATAATTATCAATGCTCAACGTATTTTTTCAAGTATACGGAGAATCATATGCCATAACATTTCGTTCTATCAACGTTGATATATACACTACTCAAAAGTTTTATCAATCACCTACTAATCTATGGCTCTATGACTTATCCTTGTAATTGTTTCGTTAGTCATAAGTTATTTTGTGTCGGTTAACGTCAAATAAAAATCAACTATAGTATATGGTCTCACTTAGTATCAAGTACTAAAATCAATAATGATATATGACATTAAACAACATCAAATATCATACATAATATCTATAATTGATATCACACATCGTTAAATATAGTAAATAATCGTATCACTAAGCGTCAAGCATCAGATAATATTTTCGCCTAGTACCGCTAAGTGTTAGGTAGCAATGATAAGAGTGGTATTCATATCATTAAGCATCGAGTATTATTCCACCAATGCTATATATTTGTCAAGCGTAAGGCTATAAAAATAGGGTGAGTCTAAATATATCAAACAATTTATTAAACTCACTAACTTTAGTGTAATATTATATTTTTTTGTTTTTTATTAAAGTTTTATTATCATTATGTAATTATTATGTCTTTTGCTTCTTTTTTATAATTAAGTAATATTTATTTATTTTTAAATTTTTGTTATCTTTTTTACTTATTTAATTATACATACATATATAATTTTATATTTTATGTTGTTTAATATTTATGTTTTTAAGTCAGCAACTGTGTCAAATTATTTTACAAGTTTGATGTTTGAATAATTTTATATTTATGTTGCACATATTGAGAAATTTTAATATAAATTTGGACGTTACATAAGGATACTTTAGAAATACAATATTTTATTTAGATTTTATATTTCCTCTTCAAAATATAAAATCTATTAGTTAGTTTAAAATAATGATTTATCTATATGAATATTTTAAATATTTAAAAGTATATTGAAATAATATTAAATTTATCTATATAAAATTTTCTATTAAGGTCTTTTTCATTATTAAAGTATTTTTCATTTATTTATTCTATTTAAATTATTTTAATCAATTTAAACTTTTAAATTAAATTTAAATTTGAATTAGTGTTGGGTGGAAGCCGCATGTTGAGATTACAAAACATGAGATGGAAATTTGTTGAAAAAGATGACAAGAAGATAAGTGGGGACCTACATCATCGAAAATGGTGAGTTGAGTGTTGTGCAGGTAAGTTGACTTGGTACATTTAGTAGTGTCTTAAAATCACGGATAGTTTCTAGTCATTAAGGTTGTAAAATCTCAAATTTCATTGCAAAACACTTTTGAATTTCTCTTCATTCTCTCAATTTTTCATCCTTTTGTAACAAATTTTTTTCTCTTCCTCTCAATTCTTATGGCTGTTTTAGATCAATTCATCCATTGTTTCTTCTTACATTCTATCTCATTCCTAGTCGAGATTCATGCATCTTCCACTCCAGCGTCAAGCTCCTCGAATCCCCTGATTACCATACTGGCATGCTCGATGAATTCCACACCTAACCTTGACCCAACATCAAAAGTAGCTTTAGCCTCTGCTAACAAAACTTGACGGTTTGCAGTGCTAGAATTTGGTGCGACACTGCTTAGACCAGCAGCTTCTTGATCTAATTTTCTTATGGACTTGCGTTTCTTCTGCCCCCCTCGAAGTGCTCTTTTTTTGTTTTTGTTTTTCATCTGACACGAGTCTCCGATGGGAATGTCAAAACCAGAGGACTGATGGAGAGCCACGATCTTTTGACCCCGAGTATGGGTGAAAGCGTGCCCCCTAGTTCACTCAATGGTATAAGCACTAAATTATTAACGACATCTATAGGAACATCTCATAGTCTCGAATCATTTGAGATTGATGGGTTCATAGGGGAGACATCAAGCCTTCCATGTTATTGCTCGAGAGCCCAATTTTGATATGCTTAAACACATCGGCTCACTCCCCGACAAGACTGGGACATCATGCAGCCCAACACCAAATGAGTAATCTTGACTCGCGTGGAAAATGCTTTCCTCTGACCTAGAAGATAGATCAACAGCCCTTTCCACTGCATCTTAACAAAAATCGTTAATAAGATCAGCCTTTACGACTTTCACCTCGATATTATCTCCCTCATTTACTAACCATGGTAAAGGATGGCATCGGACGCACCTTCCACCAAAACAAACGGGGACCAACCATCAATAAACAACCGGTCGCCGTCAAACTCCTATGTTCTCAATTTAATCTCTGAAACATAACCGTTAAAATTGATGGTAACTCTATCTGGTAAAATAGACACCTTCTGCACCGAGACTAGAATTCTAGCTTCATCGAAACGATTGTGATTGGTTGTATCATCCTCGATTTTTAATACATTCCCCCATCTACTACCAAGCTCTGAGAAGAATCTGTCATTCCAAACTTGTAACGGAACGTCTTGCATCACCACCCAAGTTTTGACCTTCCTCTTGCCATCGAACCCTTCTAATATCTCCAGCACATCGAACCAGTAATGAATGAACTCATCTCTCCTGTTTCAAACCCTACTTAACTCATCCACACTCGAAAATTGCAAAACTAACAATAAACCATACCATGGACAAACCTTTACCCCTAAACACATCTTGAACTATTTCCAGCTTTTAACACACATTACTTTCAGTGATGCATCACGCTGTGGGCAGGGGCGGATGCAATAAGCCCCTAGGGGTCAAGTGAAAAAAGAGTGAAATTTAGTATAATATGTTAAAGAAAAATGGAAGAATTTTTTTTTGCACCCTATTATTTTTAAGAAAAAAAATTAAAATTTTGGATCCCTATTTATAAATTTCTAGATCTGCTACTGCCTGTCGGTCAACACTGTTTGGCAACGTATCTACCACCCCCACTTGGACTACATCTCCAGAAAGAGGCAGCATGAGTTCACTATCGTTATTTAGTCTGTCTTTGTCTGTCAACGCTTCTTTGAACGATCTCAAATCCCTTAGCGATGAGGTCCTCCTCCACACATTCTAAAAGTTCTCCCCCCTTTTCGGAGTATTGACACTCCAGTTCGAGGTGAGAAAGACCCTAATGGGACAACCATCGATCGTTCTCTCATCTCCCTTTCCAACCACAAGTTCAGCCTCGACCAAGTTTCTGAATCTAACAAAAGCAAACGTCGACTTCTTTAGCTTCCTTTTCGGATTCCAATAAGCAATATAAACATCCGGGACTACTTCGTACGCCTGGAAAGCTTCCTTCAAAGATGGCTGATGTACCCTCTTGCTAACATTGTCTGCGAAAACTGACACTCCAATCCGACGACGGTCTCTCCTCCTTTCTCCAGCAGCGTTCCTTCTCCACGACGGTTCGCTTCCCGGCTAATGGTATTCCATGTCTACTATAATCCCATGTTTAAAAGAAGACAAAAGCAATGAGATAAAGATACAAAGTTTTTTCACCAGCAAGAAACACAAAGATTCATCTAAAAAAATATGTTCACATTGATAATTGTATCAATAATTTGTGATAATTGATTCAAAATCAAAATATTATACATACACTAATATAAAATTTATATTTAGTTAGGATATTTACCCCTTGATTTTTTAAATAAATTATAAATCTGAAAACCCTTGTAAAATAAGTCAAACAATTTGCTTAATGCAACCAAGACACAAAATTATTATAGTCCATAAATACTTTGAAGTCTTTCATCGGCTGCTACATAATTCTCTAAAATAATCCAAGATGTCAACCTCCCCGTCTTATTCAATTTGAACAATTTATAAATATATAACATGAATGCTGCTTTCAATATATATGTATATATACATTTTAAATTATAGTTTAGTTCTAGCTGCTTTCTGAATAAGTATAAAATGACATCTTTGAACTCATTTTCTTTGAATAATCTGATTCACTATAAATTTTGTGAACGTTTTTCTTTTCCTGTAACTCATAATCGGGATTCTCAGAAATTACTTTAAGCTTAAAGTAAAAGAGAAACAGAGTTGTATTTCCTTTTTAGTTTTCCAGTTATGAATCTTTTTGAAACCATCTTCTTCATCTTTCTCTTATCGTCTCTTCGGCCATCAACAAGCTCTGAAATCTGCCGTGTTTCATGTGGGATTCAATCGATTCGTTTCCCTTTCCGTCTCGATAACCAAGCTGATCGTTGTGGCTATCCCCGGTTCAATCTCTCATGCAAAAACCAATCCGAAACTGTCCTTTCGCTTCCATTTTCGGGCGATTTCGATGTCGTAAACATCGACTATATGTTCCAAAACATATGGATTAACGACCCCGATTATTGTGTCCCCCAACGTCTTCTTCAGGGGCTTAATCTATCCCTCACCCCTTTTTCTTTGTTGTATCCTCGAAGTTTCACGTTTTTCAATTGCTCCTTTGCTGCATCATCAGAGCTACCTGAAGCAAAGTATATCTCTTGTCTTAGCGGCGGAAATTTCTCCGTAGTGGCTATACCGGTGGAACGGCTTGATTTGTCGACGTCCTTCTCGACATCGTGTTCAGAGATAGCGACGGTTCCGGTTCCAGTTTCCTGGACGGGTTGGTTGAATCCTGGCAATGGTATCATGTTGACATGGAATGAACCTAATTGCATGTTTTGCGAAAGGCGAGCAGGGAATTGCATGTTCAAGAGTGATACGGGCTTGGATGTTGGATGCTCCGATGGTTTTAGCAACGGTATGTTTTGTTTTCATTTGCGGTACGAGAGTCTTATAAGGTTAATTTATTTTTTAAATTTAAAATATTATAATCTTCAACTTAAAAATTTATATAATTGATAATAATTTTAAATATAACCTAGAATATTACATCGCAATGGGTTTTAACTTGAAATATTATTTGTCTACTCTAAAATATACACAATCACTAATAATTTTGGCTATAATAGAAAATTTTTGACTGTAACTTTTATGTTATAATCGGAATAATTATGTAATTTACATGAATTGTTATGAAAAATATAATATTCTCCGTTTCAACTTAAAATGTTATCCGATTCACTTAGTGAAATTTTCGATTAAAATTAATTTTTATCTTTTAATTGGCTGTATTTTAAATTTATCCGAAAATATGGATTAATTTTGATTAAAAACATGCTACATATGTGTCATTTATAGTCCAATTCTTACTCTGTTAATGCGGTGTAAACGCAAACTAGTAGTTGGAATATTTACTCTATTGAACTTGTTAAATTAATAAATAATGATTTTAAAAAACAGTAATTAGTTGAACAAAGAAAAATTCAAATTGAGTTCTAAACCTATTGGTGATGCATCGCTTTCATGCATCAATGAACACGTCAGTCTGCGGTTGAATATCATAGATTTATGGCAGTCACCAGTTATCACCATGTTTCATATTTTCTTTAACAAATAAAAGAATAAAAGTACACGTACGGTCCCGATTACAAGGGAATTTCTTTATTAAATTTATCTACTATTAAAAATTATAAAATGTTTATTTGATTATTTATATGTTCGAAGCACATTTTTTTTCATAAACAATTGATAACAATATGAGCTAGTTAATTTGTTGACTGAGATATGATAGTCATTTGAGATTTTGAGATCAAATTTTATTATGTCACAATAAGTTAACATTTAACTCAAAACGTCGTCAATTTTTTAACAGAAAATGAAAAGTTTGGAATATATGAATAGTCTATTGACTATTTTGTAACTTTTAAAAGTTAGTGAACTCAAAAAACAATACCCTATAATCAAGAGATCATTTCATAATTTTAATAATCGAGACTCAACAAAATGATAACTATGGTCGAGGGTACTCTACTCAAAAGTAAAATTAAAAGATGATTTTTCCGTGATTTATTTTTCTTTCATTTTAGGTCTTCCAAGACGTGCTAAATACGGCATAATGTTTGGTGTGGGAATACCAGTCCTGTTCATCATCGGCTTGGTAATTTACCTCCGCAAAAAGGCTGAGAGTTACGACCTTCATCATCCCAACCGGACGGAACCGTTGTCCAATTCGATCGCCCCGATATTGGATGCTTTAGCCAAAGGTCTGGACGGAAAAACCATCGAGGCGTATCCGGTAACATTGCTTGGTGAAAGCCGGCGGTTACCGAGTCTAAATCATAACACTTGCCCAATATGTCTGGATGAATACCAAGCCAAAGAGAAGTTAAGGACTATTCCAGATTGCAAGCATTATTTTCATGCCGATTGTATCGATGAGTGGTTGAAATTGAATGCTGCATGCCCCTTATGTCGTAATACCCCTTAATCATTGCCTCATTGTTTCATCATCTTCTTCATAATACATGGTTTAGTTAACTTATTTTCTTTGGGTGCGATTTATCCTTTTTTTCACAAGAAAAGTTGTAATTTATTATTAAAGGGAAACAAACATAATAATGAATATTTGTTAATAAGTTCAAAATTGTCCAAAATCGAAAAAAAAAACACATAAGGATACGCAGAAGACATACACAAAATGGAATTTCATATCAACCCGATAAAAATGGGAACAAAAGCAGCGGAATAGCAAATATATTCAAACAAAACACATATTTAACCGGTGGGTCAATTTACTTATCTTTGTTTCCTTACATTTCTTTAGGATATGACAGGGATAGAACCAGGGTTGAAATATGAGGAGGCAAGTTGTTTAACTTCAAAATAAATAGGGTCCTTAAAAGTAATTAAACCAATAAAACAAGAGATTAAAGGTTTAATTTCATTGATTTTAAAGTTCAAAGGTATTAAAATATAATTAAATCAGAAAATTTTGAGATTAAGTTAATTTTAAACTGATAGTGTTTTAAAAGTAATTATACTAGAAATTTTTGGAAGGGACGAAGACCTAATTGTAATCGTTTCAAAACTACTAGTGGCTTAAGAGGTAATTAAACCATCAAAGTTTGGGGGTCATTGCCCTCCCACCTATAACATGGATCCGTCGGTCTTGGGTTCTAGACCCACTAAAAACATTATCCTTCATTCCCCTAGAGTCCCTTCTTCCTCTATACTATCAAGATTAGATTTAATTTTTTTAAAAAAAAGATTAAAGGTATATGAATACGGAAATGTTTAATATACCCTTGTTGTGACTAGAAAAATAAAGAAAAAACCCTTAAGGGGCGTTTGGTTCACGGAATGTAAGATTACCTTTGAGAATAACATTACTGTTACTATGAAAATGTTATATTATCTTGTTTAGTTTGTTTAGCAGAAATATAAGATTACATTGTTTGGCTGGAGGAATATAAGATTACTTGGATGCATATTTTACTAAATTATCATTGTGATTTTTTTAAAAGTTAAACTTTAATATTAATCTATAAATATTTGAATGAAAATTCATAAAAATATTTTAATCGTTATACTATCTAATTTTTGAGAAAAAATACATTTAATATATAATTAATATAATTAGTATATTAAATTTATATTTTTAAATAATATTAATAAATATCATATTTATTTATATAATATTATAATATAATATGAAAAAATAGTATTATGATATTGAGTGAGTAAAGATATTTATTTTTCAATATATAAGATCCGTTTTTAATAATTAAAAGTTAAATATTATTTTAAATAATTATGTTTTGACTCTAATATTATTTTTTCATCCCATAAAATTATAAATAGTAAACATGTTGATTATTAAAAATATAAAATATTTTAAATTGTAAAATTTATTAATATTTTATTAAATCAAACTTTTCGTATATTATTATGTGTATAATTTTGAGTAAAACACAAAAAATAAGAATTGAGAATGATCGTTATAAAAAAAATTCATTAGACTAAATGTATTTTTATCAAAAGTGGTGGAAATTGTGTAATACCTAAGAATTGGAGGTAATGACATTCCACCATTTTAACTTAACAATATTATATTGGAAAAAAAATATTTCCGAGTAATAATATTTTCCGTTAACCAAACGTGATAATACAATTCCAGAAAAGATTATTCTCCTAAATAAAACGCACCTTAGTGGCAATAATTATCAAATACTCTTGTATACTAAAATGACTATAACAATGTTGTTTAATGCCTTGGGTAAGAAAAATTACGAAAATAACTTTATGGATAATAAATGAATTATAAGAGTTAAGAATTCTTAAAACGCACACTATAAAGTACTAATGAGCGTCATAATGCTATGCTAAGCCATCTCATATTTAGGGGTGGGAATAGGTCATACCATGCTTCAATAGGCTTGAGCTTAGCCTACGATGATATTTGTAGGTCTGAGTCTGGTTTATAGCCAGTCAAAGGCTTTTATTTGGGTTTGGTCTGACTTGTTTAAAAGTTTATTTCATAATAAATATTTAATATTTTCAGTTTAGTCATTAATTTTAGAGTAATTCATATTAAGTGGTCTGACTTTTAAAAGTTTATTTCATAATAAATATTTAATATTTTCAGTTTAGTCATTAATTTTAGAGTAAAATTCATATTAAGTCACTCTAACTTAGCGTATTTTACAAAGTAATCACTTTAAATAGACTGGCCTATTAGGCTTATAAGGCTTTTTAATAAGCCTAAGTCTGATATTTAATTTAATAGGCTTTTAAAAAGGTCGAGCCTGACCTTTTTATTAAATAGGTCAGGCCAGACCAGACTTTATATAGGCCAGGCCCTAGGCCGGCCTGGCCTATTCTCACTCCTACTCATACGTGAGATTTTCGTCATGATAAGAGTTAATCAAATGTATTAATAAAATAATTATAAAAATAATATCAATGTTTTTAAAATAAAATTATATAATATTAAAAATATTATACACATAAAATAATACCTAGCAATTAAAATAATTTTGTAACTAATATTAAATAAAAAAGAGTTATTAAAACTTATCAAAAACTCAAATTACACTTCAATTTGTTCTCGCATAAAAAGAAAAAAGGGTAAAATTTTTATATGGAACATGTTCCATATGGGGATGGGGAGAGAGAAGACGAGTGAAAAGACAATTTTTACCTCCTATGTCTTTTCATATGAGAATAAAAACAACGCCGGAAGTTACCTTGTGTATAGTGATGAGCATTTGATCGAGTCGAGTTAAAAAAATTTAAATTATTCGAGTTGATGATTCATATTTTATAATTTGAACTTAACTTGAAATATTTTCAAGTTGAGTCGAGTTTAAGAAATTTGAGTCGAGTTATTCGAATTTCTATATTAATTTTCTTATAATTATTTATAGTATTATGATAATGATTGATTCTAATTTTTTTGACTTTCTCTAATCATATTTGATTCATATTTTATAATTTGAACTTAACTTGAAATATTTTCAAGTTGAGTCGAGTTTAAGAAATTTGAGTCGAGTTATTCGAATTTCTATATTAATTTTCTTATAATTATTTATAGTATTATGATAATGATTGATTCTAATTTTTTTGACTTTCTCTAATCATATAAGATATATATTTCATATTCTTTTCATATTATAATGTTATTTAATATATCAAATAAAATAAAAAATTATAAAATATATTTATAATATTATATTTTAAAAAATATTTTGAGAGAAAAATATTGATGAGAGTATAAAGGAGTAGAGGAATTGATATAAAGAAATAATTTGCAAACAATTGCAATTAAAAGATCAAATTGGGTAAAATACTAAGGACTAAATAAAAAGAGTCCATTTTTAGTAAAAGAAAATAAGACTTGAAGTTACATAGATATTTTATAGTGGTATATGAGAATGTGGTTCAAATTTGGTAAAAAAAACAAACTTAAAATATATGATGAATTGAAGAAATAAGAAATTATAAAAATTGAGACTAAATTAAAAATAAAACTTGTTATCAAAAAGAGAAATTGAAAGTACATATGTATTATATAATGATTTAGGAGCACGTGGTTCAAATTTATAAAAAATTGACTTAAAATGAAGGAGAAGTTGAAGGAATAATGAAATCAGTGACTAAATCATAAAACTGTCAAAATACTTGGTCAAAATTTTATTTTTTTGAGTAACTCGAAATTAAAAAACAAAATCGAATTTTGCTCACGTCTACTTTATATTCAATGTGTTGCCATATGTACTGTTTGGGAAGCAACTGAAGACACATCAAGAGCACATCTTGCCAAATGTTCTGAAAACGGTCGTAGTAGACGAAAGTTCCCATGCCATTACAGTAACTTGCATGTAAATAGTTTACATACAAAACTTGAGAAAGAGACAAAACACATTGTTGTGCAAACCATATTGATCTGCAAAATATAATAAAATGCTGCAAAAGCTTTAATTACAGCATGACACCACCCAAAGCAAAAAGACACAAGCTGTTCTCAAGTACAAATAAATACGGATTCCTTTCAATCTATTGAGAGTCGTTAGTTTTAGCTTCTCAATCCTAACTCTTTTCCATGTCTATTATATATATATATATATACTAATGAAGTAGAGGGGAACGAGGATGAGCTATCCTTTTCGATTTGTCTCTTCACTCCTTTCTCCTCCTATCTTCACTGCTATTTATACCCTAATATATCAAGCTAAAAGCCCTAATCAACAAGTAAAGTTGAAAATCACCAAACATGAAAATGAAAACCCTTTTTTCCCCTGAATTGGTATTTCTGTGTAGCAGCTGCACAATTGTTCTTCCTTTATCCCAGATTGTAGCTTGAAACTGAGACATCAGCAGGAGAAGTAGAATGGATGTATACAAACTCTAGACTCTTTCCAGCTGGTAAAGAGTTAAGCCATGTTGGGAAACCATAGGAGTTGCCAGACTTAGCTAGACCCCATAGAGGACCATAAAGCTTTGATATTGAGAGCTTGAGATCCTTTAGAGTCTTGTAGGACTTGTTGGTCACTATAGTGGAATATCTGTAGTATGTTTTTCCTTTGTCATTCCAGGAAGTTGTCATCTTCTGCACTATGGTAATTGGACTAGAAGATGAGGCTGCAAATGAAAAAAAAAACTACATCAGATCTTGCAATTTAACAGCCTATTGTAATAGAAAAGAGAACTAAGAGTATGTTCAACAAATTTCAGGGGAAAATCTTTGAAGGAGAAGCAAAAAAATATACCAGGATTCGGTTTTGGGGCCGGCTTTGGTTTGGCAACAACAGGATTAGGAGCTGGAACAACCACTGCACAAAAAAGCCAATGTCATGAACATTATGATTGATGGAATGCTCGAGAATAAGTAATAATAATACAGCTTAATAGGGATTTGTGCTTTATATACCAGGAAGGAGCTGGTTATAACCGCCATGACCACCTCCAAGTCTAGCCAATATGCCAAGAAGAGGAGCATTGTTGTAGGTAGCAGGCTCTGTTTGTTCATAATTGTCCCTCTCATCAGC